AATATATATTTTAAATAATATAAGAATTTTTTTATAGCCATATTTATATGTAAATAGATTTAATATATATTTTAAATAATCAGAATTTTGCCTAATATGTTCAATTGATTATTACATTTTAAAGCTATTGAAAATTACCATTTCAAAGGTTTGGAAATCTGTTAGGTAAAAAATTAATGTATTAAATATTTAAATAATATAATTAATATTGAAATCTTTAAAATGAAGAAATTGCTTAAAATGTTTATTGCTGAGGCTGTAAATGAGAAATCTAACAAATGTTTCAAAATAAAAAAAAATGTTTTTAAAGCTTTTAAAAATTACCATTTTTTAAAATGTTTGATGAAAATCACAATGTTATATAAATTTATTTGACAGGATTGTTTAAAAGTTTATTGGGTGAAGAGTGTTGAACATTTTAAATAATATAATCAGTGATTAAATATCTAAAGTTATAAAACTATTTTCATTGTAATTTTGTTTAAAAATTTTAAATTTTTTTACTTAGAAAAATATATAAATGAATCATTGGATATGCTCTAAGAGTATCTTTAACAAATTCTTTAAAATAGAAAAAATTAAGGTTTTTGACAATTTTTTGTTTCAAAAGATCTGCCAAAACTTTCTCCAAAATGGAAAAAGCATGAGAGATGGTATGAAATTCTCCAAATTTGGAGAATTTCCTAAAAATGATTACCATGAAAGATATATTTTTTAATTATATTTCACCAATAAAAACCATGGGGGTTAAATTTTTATGAGAGAAATAATATTTTATTATATGTATACGATATTTTAATAATATAATCAATATTATAATCTCTAAAATTAAGAATCTCTTGAAAATAGATGTAATTTTTTATTCCCTTGGAGAAATTTTGAAGAATATATTGGAGATACACAAAGCATTTACCATTTTCCTTACAACCAACCCGGATAAACAAGACCAACATATATAGAAGTAAATTTATTTTAAAATAAAAAAATCCATAAAGCAAAAAACTTTTATGGTATTATTAACGCACCTAACACCTGCAGCTAGTGCAAGAAGGCTCTTTAAATATCTGTTATTTTCTCCTAGAGCAAACAAGAAACAAAAATAACCCAATTTGTTACCCTACTAGAAAAACTTTCTCCAAAATGATACCGGTCAAAAAGACCAAAGGTCGCCAAAAGATTGAAATGACAAAAATATTAGATGAAAAAAGCTTGGCGGTTACTTTCTCAAAGCGACATTCTGGTATTATCAGCAAGGCAAACGAGCTTTCCACCCTTTGTGGGGTGGAGCTTGCCATCATCATGCTTTCCCCAACCAAAAAGCCAGTCTCGTATGGAGTTCCAAGTGTTGAGGCGATTTTAGATCGCTACATGGAACAACTTCCTCCTCCGGATCCGAGCATGTCTCAATATATGGAGTCTTACCGCAATGCCAACATCCAACAACTCAACAGGGAGCTTACCAACATGGTTGCTCAAACGCAATCTGAGAAAAAGACCGGTGAAGAACTGGACTTAATAAAGAAAGACAGGCAAGATCGTAATTGGTGGAATGCTCCGATAGAGACTTTGGATGTCGAACAGCTTGAGAAATTGAAGGTGGCAATGTTGGAATTGAGGAACAATGCTGAGAAGCAAGCCGAAAGGCTTACGGTGGAGGCTGCTACCACCTCTACACCAATAATTCCTGGCTTTGGGTCTATGGGGGCAGATGGTGCTGGCCCATCAAACTGATCGGAGTATGGATTTAGATCTTCCATGACTTTTCATGGGTTTATGTTGGGATATCAATGATGTTTAATTCTGCTTTTAATCCGTTTAAGGCTATGCTTTTGTCTTCATTTTTCCTTCTCAATTCTAGGTCGATTATTTAACGTTGTTAGGGTTATCATTGCTTAGGCTTCCCAACTCTTTATGTTTCTTGTAAGAGGACTAATAATAATTATCCTTTCATTACATCGATTTTAAGCACATGGTAATCTTGATATAATACATAAATTATCATGATTTACTTAATTATGCTTATAATAAGATAGGGTTAAACTGTGTCTTGACTGCAAGTTATTCCATAATTTGCAGATTATAGCTTGCCCAACACAAGGCAACATGGTCATCGATATCCTCTATAAGATTGAAATTTATATTAGTTCCATTTTAAGTATTGAGGTAACTACTAACCATATTATTACGAATACAACATGATGAAAGAGGGTGTTTTTCCCCTTATCAATCAAGGAGAACATAAGAAACTAGTGGAGGTAATGTTGTAATGAGGAATATATGATCTTGGTAACAGCGAAAAATTAAGTGTAGGAGGAGGCTAAGTGGAGAGGAAGATCTAGTTTTGCATTTGTACATATCCTTTTATGAGATGAAGGAGGGTGGCAAGTCGTAGATACTATACATGAGCTATCGCGAGTTTTTTTCTCTTTCGTAAAGAAGATCTTCAAGTGGCAAATTTCTTGAAACGATTGTTCATAGAAGGGAAATCAACACTTTGAAAAAGTTTGTTCTTGTTGTTTAGCATCTGGTTTCCGTCATTTAATTTGTACATTCTATTGAGACTTTGATGGATCATTTCGTCAATCGAGCCTTCTTTTGTTGAGTCTTGGAATTTCAGGTTTTCCTTTCTATCTCTGCCCATGGATATTACTTAGTTACCCTCTGTAGTTCTTTTTGCTAACCGTGGGGTCTTGAAGATAAAAGATCAGAGTGGCCTTGAGGAGACTATAGTAAACTTAGGCTCTACAGTTTTGCAAATACTGTGAGATGGAAGTATGGGAGCCAAGTTTTATTTCCATGGTTCTTACACAATCTTCTTTTTCCCCAGTGATCGAGTATATAGATAACATATAATGTGTATATATACTACCTGATGTTCACTGTGGTATAGTTGCTCAATAAGAGTAGCTAGCTAGCTAGCAAAACTCCGAATACATCAACAAAAGTTTATGGACCTTAGAATAAACCAAGGCCATAGCCATAGTTATGGATGTGAGAAGCACTAGAAGATGATGATATGATAAGAGGAGGTTTGATATCATAGTTATCAACACCACCTCTAATACTAACTATTATTAGCACCGAAAATCGGCAGAGTTAGAATTCTCGACAGAAAGCTTGTTAGCTTGTATTGCCACACTCTTCTTAAGTTCCTCCATTGAATCCTTTAGTTGTTCAAGCTCATGGAGAATTAGGTCTTCAATTGGTGCTTCCCACCAAAATTGGCTCTGACTAGCCTTTCTCATTTCGTCTAACGTCTCACTTCTTTTTTTCTCGGCTTCTAACTCATTGAGCAAGTGCGTCAGCTGCATTTTAGCTCAGGAATGCTAGCTATCCTATGAGCCTCTACGACATGTAAACTTGTGGAGTTAAGTTTTGGGTTCCGGGTGAGAAATCTATCAACAATTGACTCGACTTTAGGATGTCCAAAGGAAAAAACCTTTCTGGCCGGAGAGAATACCACAATAGCAATTTCGACCCCACACAATGTGCAAAGCTCACTAGCTTTCTTGAAGAGCCCTGACCGTCTCTTCGAGAAGATTACCTGTAGATGGTTTTTTATCTGAATTTTCGCTATCTTAATCTTTTGTCGACCCAAGCTTGGTTTTTTAGCCATAGCACCAGAGGTTCAAAGAAATATGACAAAAAATGGAGGATCTCGGATAACGATCTTTCGAAAAAAATATGATAATTTATAGGCGACGAATTAAGTAAATACTCACTGTGGTGTCTTAATTGCAATTAATTATTGATTGGGAGTTAAAAATCTTCATTTTTAATTCATGGATATCAAGAAAATCAATTTCTTGTTTTTAACTATTTGACTTTTACATGCAAAGATAAGTTACAAAGTCAACACCTTGAATTTGTAGCATGTGAAATAGTAAATTAATTTGTATGTTACATTGAGCCAATTAAAGTCAAACTCATAATTTGCAGGTTCAATTGTAAATGATTATTAGAGAATGAAACTGATGGTTTAAAAATATACACCATCATTAGCTAAAACTAGATCATAATACATATTCAGTAAGTAATAATTAAATCAAGCTGTCGAAAAACTTGCTAAAGGAGAATTATTTGATCAATTACTCGATTATATTGTGGTGAACCCGTCGTTACTTTGATGCAAAATGCATCGATTAGGCCACCTCTGCAAACTTGTGGCATAAATAGTCATATTTGTTTAAAATGATGGATATATAAGTAAAACACTAATATATATTAAACGACGCGTAAAGAATATATAATAATTGAATAATCCCTTTTAGACAATTGCGTAATTAAATTAATTTAATTATAACTTACTGAAAACGAATTACGATATTATTCTAGTTAATGATGGTGGATTTCTTATGAAACCATAGTTTTCATCCATCAATAATCATTCACAATTGAACCTACAAATTATAAGTTTGACTTTAATTAGCTCAATGTAACATACCTCTTTACTATTTGGCATGCCACAAAGTCAAGGTGTTGACTTTGTAACTTAWGTAAAAGTCAAAGAGTTTGCCTAATGATATTAAAACCAAGAAATTGATTGTCTTGTTATCCAGGAATTAAATAAAAGGATTTTGTAACTCCAACATCATTCAATGCAATTAAAACTCCAAAATAAGTATTGAATTCTCTTTCTATAAATAATTGCCATATTTTAGTCCAAAACTCATTATCCAAGAACCTTCATTTTCAGTCAATTTTCTTTTGAAGATCACAARCCATGGCTAAGAAACCAAGCTTGGGTCGCCAAAAGATCAAGATCGCAAAAATCCARATAAAAAACCATCTACAAGTAACCTTCTCGAAGAGACGGTCAGGGCTCTTCAAGAAGGCTAGTGAGCTTTGCACATTGTGTGGGGTTGAAATTGTTATTCTGGTATTTTCTCCTGCTGGAAAGGTTTTTTCCTTTGGACATCCACAAGTCGAGTCAGTTGTTGATAGATTTTTGACCAGAAACCTTAATCTTAACTCGRCAAGTTTACATTTCATAGAGGCTCGTAGGATAGCTAGCATTCCTGAGCTAAACACGCAACTGATGCACTTGTTGAATGAGTTAGAAGTTGAGACAAAAAGAAGCAAGACGCTAGACGAAATGAGAAAGGTGAGCCAGAGCCAGTTTTGGTGGGAAGCGTCAATYGGAGACCTGATTCTCCATGAGCTTGAACAACTGAAGGTTTCAATGGAGGAACTCAAGAAGACTATCGCTACACAAGCTAATAAGCTTTTATTCGAGAATTCTAACTCTATGCCAATCTTCGGTACTAATAATAGTATTAGTGGTGGTATTGATCACTATGAGATCAAACCCGCTCCTATCATATCAGCATCGTTTGGTGCGTCTCACATCCATAGCTATGGTTATGGATATGGCTATGACCATGGTTTGTTCTAAGGTTAATTCATACATTTTCTTGATGTATTGGGAGTTCTGTAAGTTAGTACCTCACTAGCTACTCTATGGKTTTTAATGGATTTACATGCTTATTCATTCGCTGGCACACGATGGTTATGAGAAATGGGGTCATCATCGTGTTCGTCAAAGAAAGAAGTTACAAAAGATATCAAAGAAAATTTAATATTGGAATTTCATAATTTAATTTGCTTTAAATCAATTAAATGTATCATGAGTTAAAAAGCTTTAATAAATTAAATGTATGAACGTTACATAGTTGATAATCACTTCAAGTCTCTTTTCATTGTGAAATATCAATCTGTGTTGGGATTCGTTGGGTTTTGTTATATAAATTCACATGGGGTTACGCTCAACATATCACGAGTTTTTGGAGAGATTTTTGATGATTAGTTACAAGCTTGTTTAAGCTTAATCACAGCGACTTTGGTTCGTAATCATTTTGTACTCGGTAACTCTATTTGGATCAATAAAGCCTCCTCCTTTCATGTGTCAATTTTGTAATATTCACGAATAATTGATTATTTAATTACTTGTGCTTTTTCTTTGATTAATTATTATATATTATGTAACTCTTCTTGATTATTTGATCCAAGATTGTTTCGCATTGGTTAAGTTGTTGGTAAATTTCACGTACAAATTAATTTATCGTTGTTCTTGATTAAAATTTGCAACTTTATCACCATATGATCTAATCCCAACAATGGGTATCGGAGTTGTCGCTACATTAAAATTGGTTTTATAGGATGCTTAAAATGTCTAAGTGTTTCAATAGCAATATTTTATACGACTTAATTTTATAAAATCCTATTATAAAATGTCCAATCTAAAATTATACAATAGGTTTATATTTTAGGCTTTTTAACAAGTTTTTCTATAAAGTTTTTAAAATAGTCCTATCAAATATTTTATAAGATATTTTTGATAGTGTGCCCTGTAAATCCATCTTTTTATATTATATTTTTTTTTTCAAATATCTTCATATAAGATAGTTAATACAACGTTTTATTTCAAAATGGTCCTAAAAAACTTTTTAAAACGCCTAAAAGTTTTCTAAAAACATATTGTTACACTTTTAGATGAGACACTTTATAGTATGGTCCAATAAACTTAAATCATATAAAATATGTTATTAGGATGCTTTGAAATTTTAAGCGTCGTACAAACCCAATGTTATTGTAGCATGTACAGTACCTTTTGAATATATGATACCAACAAGTGGGATCAAAGCTTTGGATTTGTAATGCCAAGTTTGTTAAAGAATTTGCAGCCGGTTTCAGGTACAAACACGACTTATGTATTGCACATGGGTGATAAGTTGGGATGTGTTGTTTCATATGACACCTAATTTGGTTGTTCTCTTGACGATCGTTATTCTAAAAACAACATTCAAATAGAGTTTGGTATTGTGGATGTTTGTTCAGGGAAGATTTCGTGATGATTTAGTAAAGGTGATATGGCTTTTTGCATTTCTTCTAGTTTAATTGGTCAAACTGTTACAACAGAAGCTTGTTCGAGTCACATGTACATAATAAAAATGTGAAATGGGATGGGGATATATTTAGCAATATAGGGATTCATTTAGAAATAATCCATAATATAAATTTACAAAAAGAAGATGACGAGTAAAGATGATGGAAAGAGAAAATAATTAGTATTTCYGAGAAAAATAAATCATTTTAATTAATGTTATGTCAGTTTTAGTTCATCTTTAAGGTGAYCGGCATAATTATACTTTGGAAAATTTGAGTTGATGACCACGATAAGTTTAACGTGGTCGGCTTAATAGTTGCATTTGCATCKAAGCCTTGTTCAAGGTTCACACAATAATCTAATAATTAATCGAAAAATTCCTTTTAGGAAAGGAATTACTCACGGTGTTGTCAAATAGTTTGCCTTATGAAGATACTAACAACAAATTCATGACCGTCTTGATATCCATGAATCAAACTAAGATTTACTCATTTCCATATCATCGTATTTCAAGTAAACCTCRAAAAAGAACAGCTATAAATTGCCAGCCAGCCATGTTTTAGTTGAAAATTCATCATCCAAGACATCCATTTTCATTAAAATATCTCATGCTTTTGCTAAGAAACCAAGCTTAGGCCACCAAAAGACCAAGATCACAAAATCCTATTAAAAAACCATCTACGAGTGACTTTTTTGAAGAGATTTCTCAAAGAGATCACGGTCAGGGATCTTCAAGAAAGCTACAACTTTGCACATTGTGTAAGGTTGAAATCATTATTATGGTATTCTCTCCTTGATTTTGCTAGTGTTGATGTTGTCTTGATAAGGATTCCTGCATGCCATCCAAGCATTAGCAATGCAATGAGGGGACGGGATCTGATATTCGAATTACCTAATGAAATTCTGTTGTCTTATGCTAAATTGACAATAGTCTTCAAAATCAATTGACATGTTCGTGTTTTTATCATGAATCGTAGCACCAAAGACATTCCCCATTTTCATAGAAAGGTTATTTAGATTGTTAGATACATTCATTCTTAATTGTATCCATATTTTCTCTTTCCAATGGTAAATTTGGTGTACTGAAAGCATCTCATGAAAGAAAACGAGAGACATGAATAATGCATCGTTACCTCTTTTTGTTATGAAATCTACAAAATATAGCATCTCATCAATATTTGTAATTTTGAAAACCTTAAAGTTGGTTCCAATAAACGAATCATCACACAACCGCATTCACAACAAACCATAATTGAACATCATTGGGATATCACAGTGTCATTTTAGGTTTGATGTACACACACAAGCACAAGACAATATCACATGAAATGAATCGATTTCTCATTATATACTAAGTTGTAACTAACTATCTGTAGCAAATATATAGTTTTTAAATGTTACATTTTGCCGTTTATAAATATTATATATATATACTTCAAAAATATGGGATAGAAGTTTAAAGGATAATCGGTTACTCATTGCTATAATAATTAGGTTTTTCAAAGCGCAACGTTCTTAGTAAGAAATAGTTTATAAATACAATATTGATATAAGAATTAATAAACGAAAATACAATGTTGTACAATAAACAAATTTTGGAAAGGCATTGATGTTGGGTATGTTTAGGCCATTATAGTAATTAGGAAGTCTTGACAGTATATTGTAATTGATAAATTTCTTATTATATATATGGTATCTCTTGATATTTTTTCCTCAAAGAATTCGGGAAGAAATTTACTAATAATTAATCCATTAGGAAAGCCATTAAAACACGATCTATATGGAACTAAATTTACATTTGAAATATCCAAATGGGAAAACATTCAACACATTGTGCAATTTGTAAGGCAAGATAAGCCCTTTAAATATCCTTCAAGTTTTCTTACAAGATCAAACACCAACAAAAAAAACCCTGAAATTTGCTTTTGYTGCTCGACATGAAAAATTCCTCTCAGCCTCCAATGATTACCGCTCGAAAGAGCAAAGGTCGCCAAAAGATCCAAATGAAAAGAATGGTGAAAGTAAGCAACTTATTAGTTACCTTCTCCAAACGCCGTTCCGGTCTTTTCAAAAAAGCGAGTGAGCTTTGCATCTTGTGTGGGGTAGAGATCGCTGTCGTTGTCTTCTCCCCGGGTAAAAAGGTATTCTCCTTTGGCCATCCATCTGTTGAGACGATTGTTGATCGCTTCCTCACACAAAATCCTCCACCRAATTCAAGCACATCTCAACTTGTGGAGGCTCATCGCAATGCCAATATCCACCAACTCAATAGGCAACTCACCTGTGTGAATGGTCAATTGGAGATTGAGAAGAACAGAAGCGAAGAGCTTAGCAAGATCAGAAAAGTAGGCCAAGATAATCATTGGTGGGAGGCTCCTATAGAGAACCTAGGGTTACAAGAGCTTGAGCAGTTGAAGGTAGCTATGGAGGTACTGAAAAAGAACATAGGAGAGCAGGCCAAAAGGCATCTTTCAGAAGTAGCTAACCCAATGCCAATTGTTCCTATCTCTAGTTCTATGGGAGGAAGTGGTGACTCCAGTGAAGTGATGAAGGGTTCTGGACTTGGATTATCCATGTCACCTCATGGATTTGTACTGGGATATGCCCATTTCAGTCGTTGAATCAGGTGAGACACTGTTCTTAAGTTCCCAAGGTCTAATATTAAATCAACTTTGTTCGTGTTTTTTAGAGGGCAAAAAAGAAGTTTTATTAAAATACTAATAACTGATACATAATTTGTTTGTGGTATTAGTGGTAGGGCACAAAACTCTTCCTTTTCTTTAGTCTTTATAATCATGAATAGCATCTGGAGTCTATGACTGTTAGGGTCATCTTTCTAAATTTATACCAGCTTAAAAATACACTTTGCTGCAAAATGACTATTACACATTGGAACTTTCGGATATGATATTTACTGTTCCAATAAATGAATGAAAGCACACTGAAAACTACTTAATAATTTTTTTGGGGCTAGCTTTATATCCTGTAACTCTAAATTATTTATCTGATTTGCAGGGTTCAGGCTTCTGATTCAAGACAATCGGATGTCTATTGGAGTTATTCAAGAAGGTTTTATGGGCATGGAGTGGCTGGTGTGCTTGGGAGTAAATCGCAATTACTTCTAAAGGTTATTTTGTAATTTGTTCTTCGAACTTGATAAGAAACTATAATATGGGTATGTTTGTGATTGGTTTAATTAGCTACCGATGTGTAGCTTCTTTTGTATTGCTATAATCTATATCTCTTGTGTGGGGTTTATTAATTTGGGAACGAGAAAAAAAAACAATTTTTTAAGGATTATTAAGGTTTATATTTGTAATACATCATTTCCCTTTTTGTTTATTTTATATATAAGCCATTATCAATCATGATCTAATTAAATATGAATTAGTTTTATTGAGTCGATCAAATCTTAATTTGGGATCTAATGAGGTCAAGCATTGTATGTTACAAAATTTTGGTTTGTTTTCGGATGAAAACAAGGGACTGGTTTATCAAAGATTTTTATAAAAGTTTGACTTGAAATACAATTAGGTGATGTTTGTTTTTTAAAAGATGTTGAAGTCTGAAGTCTGATTTCACTTCTGATTTATAAGAGATGGTCTTGAAGTCTGAAATCTAGATCAGTAAGATTGTTTATTTTTAGGTCTGAAGTCTTAAATCTGAGTCGGTTAAACTAGTACAAAAATGTAAAAGATAAATAGTTTTGATAACAAATCTCTCCCAACCCCCAAAATATAAACCATTTGATAGATGACGGATTAGGATTAAGAGGTACGTTTACCATTTAGAATTTCAGAGAATATTTAGAGTTTTTAAGTACTTATTTTGAAAATAAAACAAACGATCTTAATAGTTAAACGTCTGAATGAATCAGACTTAAGATATGTTAAGAACTAATTTTGAAAAAACAAACAGATCCTTAATCTCATTTTCAACCCATAAGAACCGTAAAGTCTAACTTTTTTTGGTTAGGAATAATTTTGTAAATAGATATGAATCTTTATCATAGATCTAAGCATGCGGACTATTGAAATAGGTTTAATCTTTTTTAGGAAATTTGTGATCGTACCACATTTGTATTATATTGTCTATGAGTTCCGTGCGAAATCTTTTGTCGATTTACATAAATCCTCATATTCGTCTTTTACGTATTTACTTGGTCTGTTTGTATTTTGGTTTTTTATGTGTTCATATTTGTTTCACTTTCCGCTCCAATTAACTATTTCAGTCAATTTTCTAATAAAAAAATATGAAAAATTGCTAAAAAGTGAAAAACTTTGATCGAATTAACTATTTCAGTCAATTTCCTAATAAAAAATAGATGGTGCTTGTCTTAACCTAGGGGTAGGGGAGGTAAGTTTTTTGACTGAAACTAGACAAGAGAGGGAATGTTGTGCGAATAAGCCATTTTTTTTAAGTTGCAAGTGGTCACCCTATAGCGTTGGTGCGAATAAGCTGGTTGAAGCATTGAGATAAACGTACAGGATATTATTTTGAAGTAATAAGCCGACCATCTAAACTCATGTTAATGAGTCGGGCTATTTCAATCTCGCCGCCGCGGCGTTTGCCAAAAAAAAGTACGCTGCCCATGGCCATCATTAGCCATCTAAACTCATGTTATACAAAATCTGAATCCAAAAATATGCAAATCAGTGAGTGTGATTAGGAATTTACCTCAAATTAATGTCAGTCTTCTTGAACAAACCCTAACTCGTTCGTCGACCGATTTCTATCACAATTCTTGACGGTTCTTCGAAAACCTAGAAGGCTCTTGCTCGGAATGGAGAAACGATGACTCTCACATTTTATTTGATTCAATTGTTGCAGAAATGAAGCCAAACGCGGCCCCAAAACTCCCCGCCGACGAAAATGGCATGAAAACCACCCCATAACTCAAAAGTATTGCCATTTTGGCAAAACAGGCCCTTATGCTTTGCTTTGGCCTTTCACAGTAGAGCTCCTTAATTTCACTTTTAAACCTCAACAGCTTGAGCCCTTTAAGTTTTCTTATTTTACAAAAAAATACCCCCTAAAATTAGGTATTACACCTTAAATAGGTAAACTATTCACCGGTTAACTTAATTGGCTGGTTAAGTAGTTACTTAAAAATAAGAACAATTATCATATAACTTAACAAATAAAATCAATATGGTAACCGCACCAATTAATTTTTAGAAGACGGCTTGTCTTCTGAATGTATTGAACGGAAATTCAAAAGTCAACTATAACACGTCTTTTTAAATAAAAATCTGAATTTAAGTTAATTTAAAAAAATAATATAACATACTTAATTTATAGTGATTAATATAGAATCTACACAATTTCTAATCAAATTATTATCTAAGAGACAATGTTCAAATAAAAAACTTTCAAATATCAGATAAGTTTTTTATATAAAACAAAATAAACAAAATGTGGATTATTAATTTCAATCAATTATTGAACGAGTGATTGTTGGAAAAAAAAAATGATACGAATAACAAAATATGAAAACCTGAGAAAAAACGTAAGCACGACCATGCCCATAATCCAGTAGGGCCATTCGCCTTGATATGGGAAGTGTTGAACTCGAAAATTCGTGTTTTTAGCATTCACATCAATTTGATTTGATTCATGTAGAGTTTTAGTATAAATTAATACAAACCTTCCATTCCATCTTTATCACGAATTTGAGGGTTAAATAAAAAATTTGTGATTTCAGTCTTCCTTTGGTGGATAAAAGATCCCTCCTTTCGTGTGGGGATGTATACCATCAAATCGGTGGTCTAACCAGGTTAACTCATAAGTTCCTGATTTCTTTATGTTTTTCCTCCACATTGCTCCTCTGCTCCGACAGCCTCCTCGTTCTCTCCTTGCTGCCTCCCTCCTCACCGTCTTCCCAACATCCAATTGATGGTTGAATCGGTTCGGTTGCCTTCACATCCAATGGTCTGCCTCCTTAAAGAGTGTTTAATGTAAGCATCTTTACAAAGTCATGGCATACGTAGATCGATTTCATCGTTTTCCTCTTTGACATTTTTGCAAACACCATGGCTACCACCGCAACAGCACCTAATCCATTCAATACACCTGAAAAAGTCTCCCTAAACTGGAAACCCAGATACAATTTTAAATAGACGTTTGTATGGCTCCCATGATCTAATCCCCCATACGGCCATACCGGCACCCTTTTTATTTCTTCCCTCACGTTGACCATCAACGAAGGTAAACCAAAAATTCATAACGAATCACGGTCTGCAACTCCGGTTGCTACATCTACGGCGAGAAACAAAACCGCCACCAGCGCCTCCCTTTTCCCACTCTTGTCTTCCTTACTCCAACACCGTACGTGACCAACTACCACCACCATCAACCTTTCTCCTGTTTCTGCTTTGATCCCTCACCCTTCTTTTTTTCCTGTCAATATGCATCTCTCTGTGAAGAAGATCTATTGAGATATGGTCTCCATTTAGACAACTTTGGAGTTGTCTATGAAGATGGGGAAAAGAGAAGAACCGTGAAGATGCGTCGACCTGTAAAGGAGAGAAGTTTATCGTCGTCGGAAATGGAGATACCCGAGGATAGGGAGTTCTTGAGGGAGGCCGCGGAAATTCGTTGCTCTCCCTATATGTATCTATACTGTCTTATAAAACATTTGGCTAAAACTTTTAAAACTCTTAAAAACTTTTAAACCCGTTCATCCCTATCCGATTTCATCCCATATCTGAATTCGTGTAACTAACTGCAGATAAACACAAT